CCCCAAAGCCCCAATCATATTGGTCCCAGGAGTTCAGTGCATCGCAACAGAAACAATTCACTTTCTTCACCAGTTGGAGAACTTTCACTTGTGTGGTCAGATGGGAAGACAGGCTTCATACGCAGTGGCTTTGTTAGTGGCCCTAAGAAACCAAGAACTCAGGTCCATTACACATTGCCATCTGGAGGTTATGATTCTGGATCAAGACACAAAATCCAAGGGCAAAAGACTCTTCCTTGTAAACGAATCAGGAGAGCTAGCGAGAAGAAGATTTCAGATAGTGGTAGGAGTTCTCGAAGAAATATTGAGTTGTTGGCATGTGATGCAAACGTATTAGTTACTATTGGAGACAAAGGATGGAGAGAAAATGGTGCACGGGTAGTCTTAGAAGTTGCAGATCACAATGAATGGCGACTTGCTATTAAACTTTCTGGATCTACAAAGTACTCATATAAGGTTCATAATATTTTGCAACCTGGGTCCACTAACCGCTTCACTCATGCCATGATGTGGAAGGGCGGAAAGGATTGGGTTTTGGAGTTTCCTGACAGAAGTCAGTGGACACTGTTCAAGGAGATGTATGAAGAATGCCACAATCGAAATATCCGTGCTGCTTTGATTAAGAATATACCTATTCCTGGTGTTCGCTTGATTGAAGAAATGGAAGATAATGCAACTTATGTCCCATTTGCTCGCAATTTTCCTAATTACTTTCATCAGATTGAAAGTGATATTGACATGGCGATGAATACTTCACGAATCTTGTATGACATGGATAGTGATGATGAGTGCTGGCTTTCAACCAACGAAACTTCTTCAGACTCCTGTGGAAATGAGATATCAGATGAATTGTTTGAAAAGACAATGGACATGCTTGAAAAAGTTGCTTATGCAGAACAACGTGAGCACTTCACATCTGAGGAGCTAGAAGAGTTTATGGCAGGAGTAGCTGTTATGGAAGTAGTAAAATCTATTTATGAACATTGGAAGCTGAAAAGGCAGAAAAAGGGCATGCCATTAGTACGCCATCTCCAGGTATGATGAGATTAATGAGCTGTTGTTACATTCTCTTTTATACATGATTGATGATGCATTGTTATCTGCAACTACATCTGTTGATTGTTGTTACATTCTCTATTGTGCTTTTGACGTGCATCTAGCTTTGTTGACCTCCACATTTACTCTGTTCTGGATGTCCATCTAAATGTGGTTGTAGTCCATAAAATATTTGAATATGGCTCTTTTAACTTCTTTGACTAGTATGCCACTAGAATATGCCTAAGCCTCAGGATTTGTGAACTACTTACATTCAGTTCTCTGTCGATATCTGCTTGCCAATTACTACTGTTTGGTTTTATTTTTTTGTTCCTTCTGTTCACTTTGGTGCATCAGCTTAGCAGGGTTTCCTTTTAAAGGCTGTATATTATCACTGTCATCAGGTAAACTCTTGCCCAAGTAGTAAAGAAAAATATACCAATGGAATAGTTCTTTAGTAGAGTTGAGTAAGGCGTTTAGAGTTGCTTGGTTATTACTATCATACTCCCTCTTTCTTGTGGTGTACAGCCAGGATTAGAGTTGATATTGTCCATCTTTTGGTTGACATTTCATTTTTAGTTGAATTATCCCAGTGTGAGAGGTATCTCCAGCCCATTAAGGGTCATCATTTGTTTTGATGCACATAGGTGCTTGTATAAAATATGACCAGATTCCATATAGTTTATGTGACATTCTAAATATGTTTTGATATACTAATTATCTTTTGGATGAAAAGCAACTTTTAGAGGCTTAGGATGATAAATTGGGTTGTTCTAGTCTTCTTGTTTTGTTAGTATGTATTCCTAGGCACTCAACAATTGTCTTGTCCTCTGCAATAGTTCTGCCTCTTTTGCGTTAGATATCTGTCTTGACTTCATTTGTGATACTAGTATCTGTTGTTGAACATTTGAGATGACCTATTGTTTCCTAATGAGGTTAACACTTCTGAACAAGATTTCTTGACATACTGTGTGTTTCATCAGCGTCCTTTGTGGGAAATGTATCAGCAGCAAGTGAAAGAGTGGGAGCAAGCTGTTTCCAGGACTGCTGCTGTCAATCATGGAAAAGCACCTCCAATTGAGAAACCACCTATGTTTGCTTTTTGTTTGAGGCCACGAGGTTTGGATATCCCTAGCAGGGGTTCAAAACAACGTTCGCAGAAGAAAATTTCGGTTTCTGGCAACAGCCATACTGTCATAAGGGATCAAGATGGTTTCCATGCTTATGGTATATTTCCATGCCTATTTCTTTCTGTAATCCTGTCTCCCAACACATACATGTGCATCCATCTCCCTCTGCCCCCTTTGTTTTCTTCCCCTTATCTACTTTTTGCCACCATAATAATACCTTAAATCTTCAACTCTTTCTGTCAGGGAGGAGAATAAATGGATATGCTCTTGGAGATGAGATGGTCGTGTATGCTGGCAACAACCATGAATCTTTGGATGCTTCTCCACCCTTTTATGCTTCAAGAAGGGTCTTTTCTCCGCGTGAGGCTGGTGTTGGATATTTCTCTTTGAACAATGATGGCTTTGAGTGGAACCATCACCCAAAGTTTCAGAGGAACAAATCAAAGAGGATTGGGACATTTATGCCTTCTAGTAATGGGCATCTGGTGGGTTCTTATGACCGGAGAACCATAAAGAGAAATGGTGTTCATCAGTGGAATATGGGATTGTCTGACTGGTCAAGTTCGAAACTTGACCATCTTGAAGGTACTTATAGTAGGCATGGCATGGGGCAGTTTGATATTCCAAATGTTCAGGAGTACAGGCTGCGTGATGCATCAAGTGCAGCTAAGCATGCTTTTAGTGTAGCAAAACAAAAGAGGGAAAAGGCACAGAGATTACTATACATGGCAGATGTGGCTATCCACAAAGCTGTAGTAGCTCTCATGAATGTGGATGCAATGAAAGCTTCTGCTGAGAATGCAAATGGCAATGGCTAGTATTATCACCACGTTAATATGTGATTGTTGGGGATTTAGTTCCTGTGCAGCCAAGACCTTATGCTTCTTTCGACAATACAGGTTTTTCACAGAATGGATTTTGATCCTACTTTTTCAATGATGTGTAGCCTTCCATCATTGTCCATAAAAGTATAGAGTGTAGATTCCTGACATGATGGCTGGAGCAGTCATTGGAGCAGTAACTTCTCGCTTCTGCCCAGTCATGATGCTACAGTCCTCATAATATGACATTATCATCGTTATCAAGAAAGTTTTGATACATAAAATCTATATCCCTTTTGCGCAATAGTTTTCCCTGGGGAGCAGGTTTGTTTTCAGTTCCTTGCACAACTGATTTGACGCTTGTGGCGCTGACAGGGTGCAACCCTTCGGATTTTGCTTCTGTCCCCTGTTGTACAGAATGATGTTGCTCTCACTCTCTTTTTTTCTTCTTTTTTTTTTTCTGGTCTCTTTAGCTCCTGTTAACCCGCCCTGAATAATATAAAACCATTTCTAGAAACTATACATGGTGGAATTTCATTTTAGAATAGGGCATTGGAGTAGCTGTTTTTTTGTTTTAGTATTGTGGAGAGCACCTTTGTGTAGGGAAACAAAAGATTTGCTGTAAGTAAACAAAATTTCTGGTTCACCATGACTGGTATATATCTACTAGTTTATTATAGCTGCTTCATTTTCTTGTGCATTATGGTCATGTTTTGATTTGTGAAACCCAGCCTGTGTTGCTGTTCTTGCTAGAAATATTGGCTTTCTTCTTGACCTTCAAGTGCTTGAAATTGTCTTCACTTGTTGAAACATCAAATGATGAAAAATATCATTTTTTTGGCCCTCAAAAATTGTAGTCCTAACTTTGATAGTTTTGTACCCATTCTTGATTCCTTGACAGATTAATACTACACTATTATTCTTTATTCTTTACATCGTGTGTTTTGATTGATTCAGCAAAAAAGTAGATCACGGTTTGTATTCTCTTTCACCAATAAAATTAGGGTATGTTGCGGGATTTGTACTCTTTGAGAATATACTTATTATTTCCGATCTTGATGCAACACGAGCAAAATATGAATTTGGTTAAAATTAAAGGGATGTTTAGTACATGAGTTTAGAGGCAAGCAGTTAATATGAAAGATATATCTTGTTGTTCCTTAAAAGTTAAATCTAACCGGCAAGCAGTTAATATGAAAGATATATTAAATCTAACTCATTGTTTAGGACATGCTATAGGGTCTTTTATAGTCTTTAACATAGTCTTAATGTCTAAATTTCACTATCTTTTACAAAAAAATTGGAGCATAATTAATTTTAAAAGTTTTTGGCTATGACAATTTCACAATTATCATGTTAGCTTCACAATAATTTAGAATATTGCAATTAGGTATGTTGACGTATTGAGATTAATAAACTCTTTGTAATTGAATCGGTGCAAATGTGTTGTTTTAAAATTGAATAGGTGTTCATGAAGCCCTCAAATGGTTGAAAGTCCTTAATTACAACAATGTCCATGTTGAAACCGACTGCCTTCAAGTAGTCAAAGGCATCCGGAACCATAAGCTTCAAATCCTTCAATCTTCTTTTAATCTTATCCTTAATGATGTTAGAGAACTAGCAAATATTTTTACTAACGTATGCTTTTTGTTTGTCAAACGGTCCGCGAACAGGATTGTTCACTTGTTAGCTTGGGACGCCCTGTCCAAGTCTGACTGTGTAGACTGCGTTTCTGTCCATTTTCCTTTCATTGTTCATGTTATGAACTCGGATTTAAATTAATATAGCTTATGTCCTTCTTTCAAAAAAAAAATGTCTAAATTATTTATAAATTAAGTTGAAAAAGTGAATAGTTAAAAATATCTTTAAGAGGGTAAATATGTCTTTATACAAAAATTTATCCTTTTGTCCCAGTATAACCATGAAGACTTATAGGTCAATTGTCTTCCAATGAAAGTTTGTCATCACCCTACCTAACTGTCACCCAACCGTTAAAACTGCCAAATTTTCCTCCTGGCCCTCTATGCTTAGCAAACCCCCACCTCCATTTCACACAATTATTTTTCCCCATACAATTTCTAAAACAAAACCTTTGTAAATCCCACAAAAAATTTGTTTTTGGCTCAATTATTTCACTCACCAAAATTGCCCCCTTCCTCAGGTAAGCTTTCTTCCACTTCCCATGAAAATTTCTTAGAAATCCCATCATTTTCCCTCTGGTTAGTACCCAAAAATATAAACTTTTTCTCTTAACATCTTTTGCTTTTGTGGGTTGTTTTCTTTCTTGAAGTATAATGAGAAGAATGGTAGATGTATGAAGCTTATCAATATATAATAGAACCTTGAAATTTAGTATCTGCAGAAGTTTCATATTCATTTCTTGTTTTGGTGTTCATAGAATCATATAGATAATGCAGGCACAAGTTTAATAGGTTTGGTTTCAGATTTTTTTTTGTCTCCTATGTTCTATTAGGTTTAATGAAGCTTGATATCTGTTTCCTTAACAAATGCTTAATGCCCTAAAAATTCAGTATACATTCACCAATAGATATTTTTGAGGTCTTGATTTTTATTTTTATTTTTTAAATAAATTTTAAGGTGAGACAAGCACAAGTTTAATTGTGGGAATTGTCGAGCCAGATGAAGGAAGAAGAGAGAATTGAAAGGATCATTCGCGGGCTTTTGAAGCAACCGGAAAACAGGAGATGCATCAATTGCAACAGTTTGGTATGAGTTTTACAGATATTTTTCATTGCAATTACCACTTAATTATTCCCAGAAAGTGATGTATGAAGAATCTTGAAATAGTATTCATTTACCTAAACAAATTAGCTGAAGGGGTTTTGTTCTTGTTTTCGGGTGGTTTGCTTATAGGTTTCATAAGCACTTAAACAATGTCAGAATGCAAGACATCATTAGTAGCAGTTTTGTTGGGCGGAGGCCGGTGAAGGGCCAAGTCCAGCACTAGGTGGCTAGGGCCGGGATTGTTGGGCGGAGGCCTTAAGGGCGGCCAAGTCTAGCACCCTGCCTCTGGAAAATGTGGCGGTATAAGGAAATAAAGTTGGACCTCCGCTATTATCTATAGCTTTCGGCGTAGGGTTAGCGCTACCTGGCTTGAGTCCCAACAAGAGTAGATGGGGGAATTGTTGGGCAGAGGCCAGTGAAGGGCCAAGTCCAGCACTGGGTGGATAGGGGATTGTCGGGCGGAGGCCTTAAGGCCGGGCCAAGTCCAGCACCCTGCCTCTAGAAAATGTGGTGGTATAAGGAAATAAAGTTGGACCTCCGCTACTAGCTATAGCTTTTGGCGTAGTGGTAAGCGCTACCTGGCTCGAGTCCCAACAAGAGTAGTGGGGGAATTGTTGGGCAGAGGCTTGAAGGACCAAGTCAATAATGATAAACTTATTGGTTCAAAAGATTACATGTAAAAAATGAGTCTATCTTTGTTCAAAATAGCCATCTGCAGAGCTCAAGAAACTCAAGTAATGTTATTGACTGATGATTCTCTCGAGCAGGGGCCGCAGTATGCCTGCACAACTTTCTGGACATTCATATGCACAAATTGCAGTGGAATACAGTAAGTTTGGTTTAATTTATTATATTAGTCTGGAAAAATGGACATGTAATGCCATAGCCAAACTTTTTTGTTGTTAAATAAATTTCAGCCGGGAGTTCACACATCGAGTAAAATCAGTGTCAATGGCTATGTTCACTGCAGATGAAGCTAGTTCTCTTCAAACTGGAGGGAACGAGGTGAGGCGTCTTGGCATATTAGAACTATCATTTTCTTCTTCTTCTTCTTCTTCTTCTTCTTCTTCTTCTCGATGTGCTTAATGAGTTATTTTGTCTTTATTTCCTTCCATATTGACCATCCGGTTTATATCTGATATAGCGAGCGAGGCAAACTTTCTTCAAGACGTGGGATCCCAGTAAGAATGTGTGTCCAGATGGCAGGTATTGCATTGTTTTTTTAAGTAATCTGATGTTTCAAAGCTTCTTGGTTTGATTCCATCTAATCACGATTCACGACTCACCCTTTTCGTGTTCCAGCAACCTTAACAAACTTAGGGAGTTCATCAGAACTGTTTACGTGGACCGGAGATTTTCAGGTGACAGGATCCAAGACAATAGGCCTTCAAGTGTTAAATTGGCAAGTATCTCATCCAAACATATAACATAAATCCCAGAAAATCAAATTCTCTGCTAGTGTAAAGTACATTGGTTTTGTGTTGTTTGTCCTATAGGGTTCGAAAGATGTATATGACGACCGACTTTCCTCTGAAAGATCCACTCCTACTGCAAGGGAGGCGTTCGTCGAGCGCCATTCCTTTGAGAGTTCGAGTCTTGGTGACAGGCTTTCATACGAGAAGTTCAGTCGAGGTGGTCGAGAGGACTTGCGTGGTAGGTTGTCTGTGGAGAAATATGCTACACCTAGAAAGAACAACGAGAGGAGCTTGAGATATTGCGTTGATCAAATCAGAAGTCCCGTGCCTCCCGTGAGACAGAAGAGCTGTTCTGCGAGGTTTGAGATAGTCGATGACAGGTTTCGAGAGGATCGAGCTGGTAATGTGAAGAAGTATGAGCATTATAAGTTTTCGAGAACAGAATCGAAGCAGGGGAGCAGATCACCAGATGGTCGACGAGTGAGGAGCGAACAAAGTCCTGTTGCGAGCCCGGTTAGAGCTATCTCGGGTGATAAAGCTCCCGAGCTGAAGGTTGGTGAGTATCCAACAACTCCAAAACCAATGGCTCAAAATGAGACTACTGATGGTTCTGCTAAGGCTGAGGTTTGTGTTTTTTTTTTTTTTTTTGTGTGTGTTTTTTAAGGTTCGAGCCTCAGTGGGGCGATATTGACTCTTTGTGCTTCAGTAGGTTGAGAAAGTAGTTATGAGCAGATACTACATTGTAACAGAGTCAGTAGTCTGTTTGTGCCTCAGTGGGGGCAGTATTGACTCTTTGTGCTTTAGTATTCTGTTTCTTGAAATGGATCAAATCCTTAGCTTTCTTATTGCAGAAGACTGGTGTTTCTAAAGATTCATCGGGATCTTCTCCTAATGCCAAACCGAGCCAAAATGAAGTTGTTCAGCAGCTGCCCGTAAGCTTGATTGATTTCGACACAGAGCCTCAATCTCTTTCTGTCACTTCAACAACGCAACCCGAGACTAGTGGCACAACTTCCTCGAACGACAAGGTTTCACCTGTTGATACTCTGGAAGCTTTACTATTCGGGTTGTCTCCATCTGTTTCAGCGACAGAGAATAAAGCACTAGTGCCTTTTGTCAACGATGCTAATCCCGGGACTACTCCTCCTCCTGCTCGGGATGCAGGACAGACAGAAATCCTGGCACTGCCCGGTCCAGAAGATTTCGAGGCTCACGTTCAGAATGTACAGCACTCGATGCAGAACCCGCCTTCTGCATACCCTTCCGGGATCAATACTTTTACTCCCCAACAAAGTACAGAGCTAACGCTTTATAACCCGGTGCGTAAAAAGACTCGATTTTTACAAAAAAAATCTTGATTTCTTGGCTTTCAATAACTCTGTTCCTTCGTGTTCTGCAGCATAGTACTTCAGAGCCTTCTCCTAACTTTGGAGAGGCCGCCTTTAGTAATATGCCACAGCAATCATCTCAACCAGCTTGGGATGCTAGCTCGGGAAATGATTTAAGATCTAGTGGAAGAAGAGAGCTTCCAGCGGTAAATGCCATATCGATCCACTCAAAATGCTTCTATGTTATTGTAAATCTCTCATATGGCATTCGGTTAAAAACTGCATTTTCTTTTGCAGGAACTTTTCACATCGAGCTATGCACCGTTTTCTGCAGCCCCATCTCCCTGGCAATTCCATCCTCCTCACGGGATGGGATACGGAATGCAATATAATCCACATCCAACGGTGAAACAAACAAACAAACAAACAAACAAACAGTGAAAATTTTTCTAGTCAGATAACAAAAGTTTTTAAAATTTTTCTCATCTTTGGAAACTCGTGTCACAGATGATGGTCTCAACGAAGTCGAGAAATCCTTTTGACGACGAAAGCCCTCAATTTCCTTCCATGTCTCCTTCACCGCCATTCCCGTATTCATTGCCCTCACCTCAGCTCGCATCTTCTTATGGAATGGCCATGCCTTTGGGTATATATATACACACACAATCTGTCATTATTAACATTCTGTTCTTTCTCGGTTTCTTATTCTGCCTCGTTTATCAACTGCAGGAGCATACGTTGGACAACAATTAAACGACAACATGTTAATTCACAGGTAAGATGATTTTGCCCAAATGAAACATTAAATCCCCGCGGTTTCCCTTAGTGGTTTACGAGTTTAATGTGCCATTGCAGGCATCAACGAAGCCATAGCGATGAAACCGGAGAATCAGCCTTTGTTTCGCTGAATCCTCTCCAGCAATCTAGCAGTGGGAGTACATATCAGATGCCAAGTGCTTCAAATCCTCATTTATCCAGAGGAAATCCTTTCACTTAGAGGAAAATGATGAACATACAAGTAATATAATCCCAGAGAAAAGGAAGTAGGCCTGTTTAGTCCTCTGAAGAACATCATTTGACTGCTGTCTGATCTTTCCTGAGATGGAGTGGCTGCAAAATCTAAGGTAACTAACATAGTACACTCAATTGTTTTTTCATGGAGAAACAAAAATACTAATTCATGAGATTACAGATGTGAAAGCAGTGTTGCAAAAATCCCACCTAAGCGCCAATTAATCGGCGCCTAAGGGCTAGCGCCAGCAGGCCGCCTAGCGTATCATCATAATCAGTGGTCTAGGCGGCTGACTAGGTCGCCCAAGCGCCGACTAGGCCTCTTAGGCACCGACTAGGCTGCCTAGTCGGTGGATTACCTATTATTCTTTTTTTTTTTTTAATGGGTTATTTCACTCAAAACACATCGTTTTGAGCGAAATAACCCTAAATTTTTCAAACTCTAATGTTTTTTAAGTTAATATTTAATATTTTAGTATTAACTATTAAAGTATTAAATAGTTTATAATTATTAGTCTTAAAAAATTTTAAAATTTTAAACAAATTTTTAAAAAATAAAAATTACACAGCACCTAAGCGTCGATTAATCCATATCGGGCGCCTAGCGATTTTTTCAACCATGTGTGAAAGTGATGGTGTTTATTGTTTTCATGGTCAAATCTTGGATGTTTTCTTTGTTGGATATTAGCTGATGAAGTTGGAAGATGGTAGAAGACTAGAAGGCTATATATGTTGAGCAACAATGGAGGAAAGAATTGAAAACCAGTTTTCATCATCAAGGTGTCTTAGAGGCCATCCAAATTCCTTTGCATCAGATTTCATTTATGAATATTTATATACCACACACAAGCCCTCAAAACCATTGTAAACATTCAACAATACATACAATCTTATTATCATCTGTCAACATTCATGTGATTGAGTTGACATTCAGAATCTCCTGTTTAAATCCAAATTTCACATTTAAATAAAATTACTGATAATAGTCTATTTTTAAATTAAGCACATTACATATCCCGATTCCCAAATATACTTTGCAAGAGCATAACTTTTTTTTTTTTTTTTTTTTTTTTTTTTTTTTAATTAGAGTAAAAATGAACTTCAAACACAAATAACAAAACACTGGGCAAGGGCTTATAGTTAAAAATAAAAACAAAAATCTATAAAATTAAAGACAAAAGATTTATTTCCAAAACCAAGATTTTGAGCACATACATCTTTGCAATTTGCAAAACCTTAACACATATTTGTGTATTAATTTGTATTACATAAACCACAATACTAAGTTTGTTGTTGTGTCGTCCCAAGTGATTTCAAGAGCTCGCACATGTCCCCACAACTTCCAATGCATTGTCCCAATGTTGCTTCATCTGCCAAAAAAAATGTAAATAATTTGTACTAATAATATAGAACTGAAAAAGAAATTAAAGTTCTAATAAAAAACATTTAAAAATATAAATATTCAACATCATTGAACAATCATGTATTCCCAACTACTTAAAAAGTGAACAAAAGTTTACAAATTCTTTGACTAAATATTTTTCTTTTTAAAAAAAGTTCTCCATGACCCATCTTTACGTACGATTTAGCAACCTAATGATCCAAAATTTTTGACGATTTTTGTCTGGAGTCAACCATATTGTAAAAATCCGGCCTAGGCATCGATTAATCGCCGCCTAGGCATCCCCCGAGCGCCCGAGGAACGCCTAGGGATTCTTTCAACCGGAGTCAATAATAGCAATGAATATTTTTCTAAATCCCTAAGTGGTCAAAAAGTTGGTACAGAAACCTAATTTTTTTTTCTGCAATCTTATGTTTACAACCGCTTTTCTCAGTGATCGAAAATTTAAGATTTTTTTAATGTGATTTAATGCCATAAGTAAGACAAGCTTGTTCATGCATGAATAAGCTTGATCTTTATTTAATATTTAATTAATCAAGAACTTTTTTAATATAAAAAAAATTAAAAATTGATTTAATTTACCTAGACTTTGAAGGGGGCAAAATTCCATGGAACACCCAACCCCACAAGAATCCACAAAGTTTGCAGGAGGAGGACCACTTGAGACACAATCTGTCAAAAAACACTTAAAAAAGCACACAAGTGTCTCAAATGGAGGTTGTTTGGAGAGGATAAAACACTTGTTGTAGCACCCTCCCAAGCAGGCATAAACGGCGTCGTCTCCCACGACATCCTGCGATAACATCACCATTCCTAGAGATACAGTCATCAAAACAACCAAGAACCTAGCATCACTCATCTTCATGCCCATTTTTTGTTTAATTTCTGGGAGGGATTAATTATATTTCATGGATATATGGATGAATTGAACTAAATCATATGTCCAACGTTTTAATAGGTAAAAAATATTTGTTTCAACTTTGGCTGCAAGCTACTACTTAATTGTGGATTCTATAAATCATTTAATTTTAGACGGTTTGTGTTCAGACTTAGGAACTCGTAAAATTTATAATGTTTGACTTATGGGTCTAGTTGTATAAAGTAGGTGGGCAGATGCATAATTAAGGCATAACATGATTCGCTTAGTCGTCCTAATCATGGTTCAGTTCAGATTCGGTTACGGTTCAAAATTGCCCATTCAGGTTCAAAGTTTAGATCTAGTTTAGAACCAGCGATTCAAATTGTTAGTTTGACCTTCATTTTAAAAATATTCTTTATGATTTAAAAACGGAATCAGTTCTTATTTTTTATTTTAAGAATCTTAACTGGAATCTTATGAATTCCAGTTCTAAACCTAAATTGCTAATACAGTTCAAGTTCATGTTCATTACAACCGCAAGTGGTTCAGTTTGAACCGAACCTTGGGTCATGCCTAGGTTAGTTAGCTTATTTTTAAAATTCTATATTGTAATTTAGCTAGAGAGAATTAAATACAATTTAAGTAATCTTGAGATTAAATCTCCTCGATCCTCAATTAATATATAATTTGTTTTAGGCAATTTAGTGCTCTTTAAAGTAAGGTTTTACATTTGACCATGAAAGATGGTTGGTAGTGAAGTTGTTACACATCTTTCTCCACTATCATGTATCTTTTTTTACTAGTAAAAAGTTAAAAACTATAAAGATGCCAACAATGACTATTGACTATTGAGATGGTCAATTTGAAACCTCTTAAATATTTGGATACAGGTTAGACCCTAATGAATAGTTGGCTCGATCGTTTGTCACCGATAATGGTGTGTTTAGTTCGCATATGAAAATCTGAATCAGAATTATATACTTGGTAATGATATATGTTTTTGTGTAAGTATATATTTTGCATGTTTGGTAGTAGGATGGATTTGGAATGACGTACTACCAATATTGATGTTTGGTTATGTATATAATGGGAATAAATGTTTTAAAAAATAAAAACAAAAAATAAAAACAATTGATCCTAATATAATGACATCCAAAAAAAAAAAAAAAAAATCAAACAAAAATCTAAAAGCACTAACCCAAACTTAAAAATCATATTACCAATAGAGTTAATACCCAATTTGGTCCCTCAACTATTAAGATTTTACCATTTTGATTCTCGACTACTAAAGTTGTTCAATTTAGTCCCTAAATATGCAATTTTTACCTAAAATGAACTCTCGGCTATTATGATTTCACCATTTTGGTCCTTGATTACCAAAGTTGCTCAATTTAGTCCCTAAATATGCAGTTTTTACCTAAAATAGACTCTCGACTATTATGATTTCACCACTTTGATCCTCAACTACCAAAATTACTCAATTTAGTCCATAATTATGCAATTTTTACCTAAAATAGTCCCTCGACTATTAGGATTTCACCACTTTGATCCTCGACTACCAAAGTTGTTCAATTTAGTCCTCAACTATACAAATGTTAACCTAAAATGTAAGTTTATTAGTATGGATTTGGGGACTTTTTGGCTATGTTAATGAGTGGAGTGATAAACATGTCAACTCCATATGCACTTAATCGTTACTCATTAGAGGTAATGTTTTAAGTTTATGATTTATGAACTACTCATAGAATGTAGTTAGTTTTGCATTGACGGATATTTAGAGATCCCTACTTTTTAAGGTATGTTTTTAATAAAGATTTTAGAGATCAGACATTGTACTTTTTTTTTGTAGAATTTGAATTATTTCTCCAACCTTTAGTTTTGCACATATTTATTTGAGAAATATCCATTTAATTAAGTACCAAGAATAAAGATAAGGCTTGTACTTAAAGGACCTAAGTTATGGAATCAAAATGAATGTGATGCCTTGAAGATATTCTCGCCCAAGTAAAGGATATATTTTTATAATTCATGTGTTTTGTTCTTTGATGAGGGTAACGGTAGTACTTGAATCAACTTGGAGAATATAAGATTTTCTTGTATAATATATATTTTATAATTAACACCTTAATTATGTGCGGCAAGTTGGCAAATTATACCATGGACTAGGGTCCACTTTGCATTGTGGACCTTGGTCTAAAAATAACCTTCAAATTTTGTACCTGCAGTTGACACATTCTGTACATGTAATTAACCGTTTATGTACCTGTAAACAAATGACTAGGCTTATTAAGTGGTTTAGTTAAATAAATGACTAGTAGTTGTTGATTTACCAAATACTATGCCTATATTGATGGAAAATAACATATACAATTACGTACGATAGTCAAGTACGTCTAATTCTTCCGAATGAGCAACATAAACAAGAATATATCAACTATATGACAAGGTATTTTGATCCTTATATAGTTTCTACTGCTACGAGATTAGAATTCTCGCAATTTAATTTTTTATTCAATTTATGTTATAACACCAAAACTTTTATATATATATATATATATATATATATATATATATATATATATATATATATATATATATATATGCAAGGGATCAGATGCATTTGTTGCTTCCCGTGTGGATGTGCGGTGGATTAATGTGCGTGAGGTTTATACTTAATGTGTGTGAGATTTGTGCTCAATGTGCCTGAGATTTGTACTTAATGTGCGTCATGTTAATATGCATGAGTTTTGTACTTAATGTGCCTGAGTATTGTGTTTAATGTGTGTGAGATTTGTGCTTAATGTGCGTGCGTATTTTAGAATTACGAGCTCAGAAGGAAGCAGAACATAAACTCACGCACAATAACGCCCAATCTTCTTCCTTCAATTTGACCATGGATTCTGGATTATCAGCTACCTTCAGTGCAGTTGAATGTTTATATAAATGACGCACGCACAGTAAAATTTGCACAGCAGCTAAGTGTGGATTTCTGTTGTATTATTCCCATAATTTTTAACCACCATAGCTCGCTTCCGCATAATCATCATCAGGGAGGGGACAAATGGCTACTGGGGATGGGGAAGAAGCTGACATCAATATTTTCTGCTGCATTTTACACATTTACGCACATTAAGTACAAATCCCAGGCACATTAAGCACAACACACGCACATTGAGTACAAATCTCACGCACATTAATTCAATTCACCGCACGGGAACCTTTCACTATATATATATATATATATATATATATATATATATATATATATATATATATATATATATATATATAAAAGGTAGAGAGTAATCAATCATAAATCTATTTGTACATCGCCCTCATAGATGATCTTGGTACATGTACAAAGATGGGACTAAAAGTATGCTTAAAAGAGTAACATTTTAATCACTTTCTAAAACGTCATTTAGATATTGAAGCGAATATTCGATATCGCCTTTCTTAGACGGCAAATTATTGTGTGAACTATTGTGTGGATTATAATAAAAAGTACATTTTTAATATATTAAAAATATATTATTTTGAATGGCATTATACAATATAATATACTTTCAGTACCTAAATAATACGTAGTATATTTTTTTCTGAATATAATGTACATTTTTAATATATTAAAAATACATTATTTGTATACTGAATGTACATTATTTAATAGTATGGTCCACACAACTGGGCAAATTATGTTGTGCATCCGTATGCACCATGCATGGTGCATACGGATGCAAAAACGACGTCGTTATGTAATTCTGGATGTATAGTTATGAAATTATAGATGTGTAGTTATGCAATTCTGATTTTTTTTTTTTTTTTTTTTTAAATTAGACGTCAAAACGACGTCGTTTTTGCATTCGGATGCACTATGCATGGTGCATAACGCTCCACACAACTGTAATGATTGTTCTTAGACATCATGGGGCTTCCTATTCATGAGCCTCTCTTAGATATAAAATCAAAAAGAGAGTACATTGGGCCTTGCCGGTTGAAAGAGACAATGGGAAATATCAACAATTATTGTTAACTAGAATTGCAAGCAATAATTATATTATATTTATTATGGATGGTTTCTTTCCTTTTCTGCACCATCTTTTTCCTCTTCAAATACTACAATGCAACTACTTACTATCCTATCCGTTTCTTTCATGTGTTCATAACACAACACTTTGCTTTCACAGATCCGGAGTGATGTAGAAACTTACACTTTTTTTTTTTTTTTGGTGCAATAGAAAGGTCAAAAGAGAAAAGATTACTACGTTTTAACTCTTTGTGTTAAAACTTCTAGACATCTAACTAAAAGAGTGTCATATACTTCTTTTTCCATTTCCTTCCAAATCAATCAGTTTATATACTATGTTAGACAACTTATTATAATTTTAATAAACATTTATTGAACATATAACAAATATTTGATCTAAAGCGCACTCAATATATTTGGTCAATCGAGGTTCGTTTTATAATTCGTCATTGAATCTAAATCACAATCTAATTTTCTCGTCGAATTGAGTAACGTCTGCAACCAATTATGTGAAAGCCAAACTAATATCAAATTATAGGGATGATATATTAATCAAACCATATGGATCACCGAGTGGTTGAAGCATGATTTTCGTATCATAAAGTTAGAAGTTCAATTTTTTCTAATACTGGAATTTTAACTGTTGGTTTTCGATCTCGTTACTATAATAACAATAACAATAACAATAACAATAACAATTCAATAACAATAACAATAACAATAACAATAACAATAACAATAACAATAACAATAACAATAATAATAATAATAATAATAATAATAATAATAATAATAATAATAATAATAATAATAATAATAATAATAATAATTCCGATCCCAATATTTAGTGGCTTATGAATGTATGATTGATTGTTAACGGCTACCAGATTGCATTGAATGACTGTCTCAACTCTGATCTCAACATTTAGACGTGTTACACTCTCACATGTTCAAGAATGAATTTTTAAAATAGGAAAAAGAGTTATTTTGAACCTTCAATTATAAGTGTTTAGAGGTACATTATTGTTATTGGTTATTGTAACTATAATTGAAACTCTATGTTGTTAGGCAATCATCAATTATACACCAATTATAATTGAATTATATTCCATCCTCATCATTTCAACCATCCAAGCTAGTTCAAAATACATTTTTTTGGTGATAGAGAAAAACTCACAATCATTATTTGGAGCTGTACACGGGATAAATTCCGTTTTGTGACCTAATCTGTAAAGATAACCGTTGTCTATCGCTGACTGCTCAAACAAGAAGGTCAATAGAACGTTTCATGAAGAGTCGAACTTAGAACCTTGTGATTAACAAACTAACACTCCGATCCGACCAATTTGGGGCACAATATTTTCACCTTTTATGAACCTGGACAAGGCACAATAAATACCTACCATAAATTACATACAAAGTTAGTTGGTTTCTGGGCATATACATACCCACCCTATCAATGCAATCCCTTCATCTATCATGCAAACCCAAAACTAACAAAGAAGCTAAGGGAAAACACAAAAAGAAAAGGTGGTGGGAAATAATGGAGAAAAAGAGTGTGAAAATTTGGGTTGTGTTGGGTGTGTTGGTAGCCATGAGTGGAGCTCAATGTGGGAAAGCAGACAGTGTTTATGGGTGCCTAGGAGGATGTTACAACAAGTGTGTTGTGTTGGCTAGGAATTCTGGAGCTTCCAGGTATCCTTGTTACATAGGATGCATCAATGGCTGTGTTCCTACGACTGCTGCTGATGATTACCAGAACTATTGCCAGATTGGGTGCAATTTGCAGCTTTGCTCCCCAACCCGCTATGGTATATTATCATTTAATTTCCTCACCATCATCATATCATCATTTTCTTTTCGGGTAACACTTGTGTGAGATCGTCCCACGGATCTCAATCCATGAGACGGGTCTAATCCTTGACTTAATTAATCAAGGACCCGACCCGTCTCACGGATTGAGACCCGTGAGACGATCTCACACAAGTTTTTGTCTTTCTTTTCTCACTTTAGAGTCAAAACCATTCATATATATAGATATAATCTCGAAAAAAGTCTATAATGCTGATCAGTAACCGTGTTTTTTGTGCTCATGTCAATAGTCTTATAGTTTATACCAAATCACATTTAGTATACATATACAATGGTGCATACCGAATATGATAAGTTAGCGTTAGCTCGCAGACTATAATTAACTCACTTTGACACCTTATCGAAATTGAGATATTTGTTCGTATGGTTAATTATTATGAGTTCTTTTCATCGTGCAGTGTCAAACAAAAATATCAAATTTTTTTGTCTTTTTTTAATCATGATAGTAACATCTATCTATGTTACAAACTATATGCACAATAGTTGCACACTATAAGTGATGGACAAAATGCGACTTCAAACCTCAGTCAATTGTCAAAGCTGCAGTCTGCTTCATAATTTAATTGCAGTATTTCCTCATAAAGGTGCAATCTTTAGCATTTGAAGATGAAAGCTAGGAAGAATATTAATTAAACCATTAATCCTAAATTAAAACATTTCGTAAAAAAAAAAAACATATTTGACTTAATTTATGACTTTTAATAATATTAGAATAAATAAACAAGGGAGAATATAAAGAAACTCGATCTTATTAGTCATCAAACAAACAAACACCGCACGTCTTAACAAGACATTTTATGTAATTTTTCCGTTTTATATATAAAATTAAAGCTATAAATTAGGTTATAATAATGGAATTAATGGCACTTAATTGTGATTTGTTTGGCAGATGGTGCACAGTTGGAGAAGTGTGTTGGCAGATGTGGAAACATATGTAATAGGGGTTAGAGAAATTATTAATGTTACGTTATTGGAAGTGATATGATGTATCATGTATGTGTGGCTGTTGGAAAAACATTATTAGTATTTCAAATGAAATAATTCCTATGTTTACTTCTTTTTTTGTTTTTTTAATATATATTTTGCGTTTCTTGTACGAGAGAATTAATCGAATAATTAATTTTACCATAATGTAAAATTGGTTCAAATTGAATTTGTAATTTCAATTCTAGAAAGACAGTTGATCGATGTCGAACAGTTAATATAGATAGCATCATTATTACTATTCTAAATTAAAGGTCATAAGTTCGATTCTCATTTTAAGTCAAATTGACATATTATGTGGAAAAATGACTATAGGAAAGAAAAAAAAAAAAGATAATTGATTTGTTGATTAAGCTAGTTATACATTTTGGCCTTAATAGTAAGTCCATGACAATGATATGGATATTAGAGCAGGTCACGATTTGGGCAATTAATATCGTGCACCACGGCGCACATAGCAATGTGCGTCCAGGCACAAAACGCGCGCGTTTCATGCTGACGTCATGTCGATATCACTTTGTCCATCCGAACAGACCAAACCTCATTATGTGTATTCAGTTAAAATTTTATGTGTATTGTGTTATGAGTTTATGTGTATTCACTTAAGAATTTATGTGTATTATGTTAACCAAATTCATTATGTGTATTGTGTTATGAGTTTATGTGTATTATGTATTATGTTAGATTATGTGTATTCTGTTATGAGTTTATGTGCATTCAAAACAGAGGATATTTTTTTTAACAACTTAACAAAACGACGTCGTTTTGGAATGTGTGTGGTGCACAGTGCTATGTGCGTCCTGGTGCACGGTATAACGATTACACGATTTGCTTTAAGTTGGTAGGCTTGAATTATTTCATCGTTGTTTCATTGACAGGCAAAATAAGTGGGATTCCAAGACTAATATTTAATCATTCTTCCAAAAGGCTGAACCCCAACCCTAAGGGCCCCCACACCCCGACCCGACAGAACATTTGGAGGAACTAATATTTAATCATGAATAAATGATTTGTAATGTCATATTTCAAATCATTTTATTTCATAGAAGCATTTTGACATCTCCGACACTAAGGGTGTATTTGGTTGGTGGATTTTGCCCATAGGAATGTGTATGAAAGTGATTGTTGTTGTTTGGTTGATAGGTTTTTAGAACACTACTATGGGTATCGAATACCTCATCAATTGAAAAATCCATACCCAAATACAATAAGGGTTTCATTCCCTTATCCATTCTCAAGCACTACTATTAATAACCATTCTCATTCCATCTTACTACCAAACATGTTAGATACTTTCACCAAAATCCATTACCATTACCAAGTATTTGATACCCATTCCGATTCCTATTCCTATGTGCGAACCAAACACACCCTAAATTCCTACGTACACTTGTTTAATTAGGAGGGAATGATGAGATTCCCCATGTTCCTCACCTCCTCCCTAGGTAGGTTAAAGTGTTACATACTTTTCCAAAGGATAACAAGAACCTACCTATCTCAGTCAACAAATTAAACATACACTCAAGTAATCAGTTCAATCTTGCGGTCAATTAATTAATTCAGACTATTAGGATTAATTTGAGTTTATTACCGAAATGGTCTCTCGACTATTGCAAAATTACCAATTTGGTCCTCGACAATTTTTCTTACCCAATTAAGTCCTTGACTTTGAAAATGTTAACCATTATGGTCCTCCGTTAAAATTCCATCCATAAACTGTTAAATTTAAAGATAAAAAGGTAATTTTATATATTTTATTTATTAAAGCTTTTCTTCTTCATGTCTATCCACTCCACTGTTCTGGGAATTAAACTAGACAATAACAAAAGGCAGCTTAAATTGCTTGCTTTTGTTTTGTGATAGAATGCTTAATAAGAGTTGTTCTGGTGGCCATGTTAATGCATATGCAAATCTGTTATAAAAGATTCCAAGCTTGCAGATGGAGAATTGTGTTGCTTTACTCCTCTGCAAAAGCAAATCTTTTCTTGACAAAACCATTTCCTTTGAGATATCCATCTTCTCCATAACAATATATATCTCAATTAATGATGATTTCGGTTTCTTCAATCTTGCTGGTTTTCTTATGGATTTGATCTCTGTAATGCCTATTAGATGAATAAACCTACTGTACTGTTCTGTAGATATTTTCATATATACAACAGCCATACTGTAGGTTAGTTAGAAAGTGGTTACAAGTTAGTTGTCAGTTGTCCTTTTTTCCTCATGTATATAAAAGTCTACTCCCAGACTTCTTTCTTCTTGTAACAGAATTATCTTTTCTGTTGCTGGACTATCAAGAATGCTCCATCAACAGAGGGTAGCGGCTTCATCATCATGATCTGCGATTGTACTGAGGCATAACTGTCACTCAGTCCCCTCAAGAACACGGATAGATTGTCATTATCCAAATGGAGCTGAAGTTTTTCAAGAAGTCCACAAGAACACTTTCGCGCACAATTGCAGGTGGGAAGAGGTCTTATAACCTGTAGCTCATCCCACAGACTCTTTAATTTGGTGAAATACGCACCTACGCTGAGATCTCCTTGTCGGATTTGATGAATCTCAGCGTGTAAATCCGAGACACGGAAAATATCGGCCTCACTGAATCTTGAATCCAACGTTTTCCAGATCTTTTCTGCTGATCCTACCCAGAGGACAGTTTGAGCAATTTCAGGCGATAATGAACGCATCAACCAAGTTGCAACCATGTTGTTGCATCTTTTCCAGTAGGGAAACCTAACATCACCAACGTCCGGCACTGCCACAGTCCCATTGACGAACCCTAATTTATTCTTAGGGAGAGGAGCGCCATCTCCATTGCTCTGGCCCAAGGATGGTAGTTTCGCCCATTTAGGGCTGTGGAGACAAGGATTAATGCAGGGTTCTCGTTAGGATGCAAGAATTAGGGGCTTGCCGCATCATTTGGGTCGAAAACTCTGTTGGTTGCCGGAGCCGCCGTCGGAGCTATCGCTGGGGCTGTAGCCTCCGATTGAAATCCGGGAGGTCTGAGTGAACTTGTTGTTCCTCCTATCCAAGCCATGTCTCTCTATCGCTCTGATACCATAACACGAAAATAGACACAGTGGAAGAAGAGGAGAAAGCTGTTTTATTGAAGAATTGAAAAGATGATTCTGTTACAAGAAGAAAGAAGTCTGGGAGTAGACTTTTATATACATGAGGAAGAAAGGACAACTGAAACTAACTTGTAAGCACTTTCTAACTAACCTACAGTATGACCGTTGTATATATGAAAATATCTACAGAACAGTATAGTAGGTTTATTCATCTAATAATGCCCTATCCTCCTCCCACGAATTCGAAAATCGCCCCCAACTGGTTTTCTGTTCCACTTCATCATCAATCCATAATCATCCATAACCATCAGTATAGCATCACCATCATCTTATTAACTCATAATCACCATTAATCAGACCCAAACATCACCAATAAACACCATCAAATTATCATCAAACTTAATCATCAACAAAAACATAATCTCACCTAATCATCCAAGCCTTGCCGGAGCTCAGACGCCACTGCCGGCCACCACGCATTGCCAGGGAACTACTTATGCCGGACCTTCGCCGTCAGAACAAAGGTCATCGCTGCTGCTCACTGCCTTTCTTCGCCGGGAGAAACTGAGTTGTCGAACAAGAGCGAGAGTCACCATCCCCCACCGCTTGCTCTGCTCGCCGAGAAACCAGTCACCGCCGGACTGCCGCTGCTTCGCTGGAAACAGAGCAGGGAGGTCGCGTCCTGCTGCTCGCCGGGGAAAGGTCGCTGGAAGAAGAACTAGGTGCCATGGCCGATGACGGGAACAGAACCAGTTGGAGATGAGTGAATTATATATTTTAACCAGTTGAGGGGAACGGAACAGAACCAGTTGGAGAACCATAGAAGAAGAAAAGATGAAATTACCTTTTTACCCTTAAATTTAACTGCTGATGGATGAAATATTAACGGAGGACCAAAATGGTTAACATTTTCAAAATCGATGACTTAATTGGGTAAGAAAAATTGTCGAGGATCAAATTGGTAATTTCGTAATAGTCGAGGGATCATTTTGGTAATAAGCTCATTAATTTTCTATTCGACTTCTCGTAGGAACTGTCTATTATCTTTTTTTTTTTTTTTATTTGAATCGACATAGTTTAGTTTACCTCTTTGTGAATCTTTTATTGACTAGAAGAGAGTTTTATTCAAAATATATATAGTAAAGGTGGCCTGAGCCCGTTTCGTGCCTGGACCTAGGTTAGCACTGATCAGGACGTGCCGGGCCTACCCCGGACCGATCTCGCGTTATGTCTAGATTTTTTTTTTTATATAAATTATTTTTTTTATTTTGTTTGAAATGAAATTTAACCCATTGAACTCTTGATTAACAATGAAAGTTCTTACCACTTAAACTACTTCAACCTTTTGATATAATAGTCGGATCCAACGGAAAATTGCGACTAATGCAAGGTCGGATCTTATTAGACTGGACAGAAAGCTGCGAAAGGAACTGGATGACACACTCTATCAGGAGGAATTGATTTGGTTCCAGCGCTCTAGGGAGGAATGGGTAACATCGGGAGATAGGAACACTCGATTCTATCACACGGCGACGTCGGTCAAAAGGAATCACATCAGGGTGAGTAGCTTGATTGATGAGAATGTTCAGACCCTTACGGAACAGAACACTGTACTAGAACATATCCGCAGTTACTTTATGGAACTTTTCTCGGAGGAGTTAGGGAGGAACGCTCACTCTTTACAACCCGGTTGTTTCCCGGCATTGAACATGTCGGACTGGACTGGGATTGACCTGCCTCTTACTAAGGAGGAAGTTAAAGCAAGCTTATTTGAGATGGTACCCTGCAAAGCTCCCGGACCGGATGGATTCTCGGCCAGCTTTTACCAAAAAACTTGGAGTATTGTAGGAGACAGTTTGTTTGATTATGTGAGAAAGTTCTTTGATGATGGAATGTTGCCACCAAACAGCAATGATACTTTGATCTCTCTCATACCGAAGGTCCCTAACCCAAGCAATGTCAAGCAGTTTCGCCCGATAAGTCTCTGCAACGTATCTTACAAGCTC